TACTTGCAACAGGGGGAACATTGTCCGAGCGCCCGAACTAGGGTAAAATTCTCCGGGTCTTCAACGCCTCGAATGCACGACACTGCTGCCTGAAAATAGGGAGTGTTCAAGTTTTCTTTCGTTATTAAAAATTGAAAATTGTACACGTCCTCGGCGATGCCTTTTAACAAATGACCGACTTTGTCTTCGTCAGACATATTTGCGTTGACAATCGCGCAAAGCTTCAATATTTCTTCAATGTAGGTTGTGAACGTTTCGCCGGGCAACTGAGCCCTACGTGACAGCGTTCGCTCAGCTTTCTTTTTCATGGAACTCGTGTCCCCAAAGCAGGCCTTCAGTTCCTTAACAAATATATCCCTAGTGGGGAGGACATGTTCATGGTTTTCGAACCAAAGCAAGGCTGTCCCGGCAAGGAAAAATACTACATTCACGAGCTTCGCCGGCGCGCTTCATTCGTAGTAGCGGCTCACTCTGTCGAAATGTTTTAGCCAAGCGTCCACGTCTTCGTCAGTTTTACCAGAGAATATTCATGGCCCATGTGCCCAGTAGTCTGGTTGTCGAGACCGACGGCCACCGTGTGCCGAGTCGGTGGCACTGGTGGATGCAGCAGCGTAGTACGTCAATGGGATTGCTGTGTCGTTGTTCATGCTGATGTTGTCGGGGGGTAGGCCAGCTAAGCGTCTGCTTCTTCGAAGAATTTCTGCTGCGGGGTCCAGGATGGCAAGTTACCTAGCACCGCCCCACCAAAGCTGTTACGGATGTGATGGGTTTATTTACACTGAAAAATGTCGGCGCTCTACCGTCACTGCCGAATTACCATCGCTTGAAAGCGTCCTACCTCTTCTTTTTTCTCGCTCTTTCAGTCCGCGTTAAAATACGAATAGAATACATAGGTGCGGGTCGCAAGTTTCACGCGTGTTTAGATTCAGGGGCGGATATTACAGTGATCAGGGAAAAGTTAGTCCCGCAATCAGAGAGGCTTCAGAGAGTAGGCCAAGTACGCTTGAGAGGAGCATTTCGGCAGGCAGTTGCAGCTGACCTAATGTACGTCCCGTTAGCCCTGTATATTCCGGATGGAGGCTCTGCTCCGGAGCTGATTGAACAGTGCGTGGTCACAGATGAACTCAAGGAAGAAGTACACGCTCTACTTACACCGGACACGCTGGAAAAGCTTAAAGAGACGCGAAGAGAATCGCAGGCATTGGTGGTTTAGATAGTGAGAGCAGAGTAGAACGCTGCCGAGGAAATCGATCGTGAAGATGAGGTCAGTGCTAAGGAGAAGTCGAAGTACCAGCCAGATCCAGCGGGATCGTGAGCAGTTTCTTTGGCAGGGCAAGTAACGGCTAATGAGGCGTATAATGAGGCATTCTTTTGGCCGACAATGGTGTCGGACATCAAAAAGCATTGTTAGTCTTGCTACACATGCCAAAAGTTCGCCAGTAGGAAAATGGCCGATCGAGTGCCAATCGCTCCCCTCACACGACCACAAACACCATTTCAAGCAGTGTACCTTGACTATATCGGTCCCGTAGAACCTGCACCATCATCGTGTGGCCATGGGTACGCTTTTTGTGCATGATTGACTTATGCACGAGGTAGCCTGAGGCCATCCCGCTTTGAGCTTTGACCGCGGGCGCAACTTGTCAGGTGTTTTTGGATATCTTCTCGCGGTACGGGGTCCCAGAACTCATATGTAGTGACAGGGAACTAACTTTACAGCCACGTTGGCTCGAGAGCTGACAGAAAAGCTAGGAGTGGAGGTACGCTTTTTAACACCGGAACACCCGCAGAGTAACGGCTTAGTATAGTGGTGGAACGGAACATTAAGGCGATGTTGAAACATGTCATACAAGATCATGCGCGAGATTGGGACTGCTACATGCCATGTGTTCTGTGGGTGTATCGTGAGATCCCTTATAAGACAACAGGGGTGTCACCATTTGAGCTAATGTACGGTATTATGGCCCAAGGCCCGTTAAACGTACTACAGAAAAGCTGGATGGGAGATTGGCAACCTCCACTAGGTCTAAATAAATCTGCGACTGCTTACTTGACGGAGCTACGTGCTCGAATGGCAGAAGCAGATCGCGCAGTTGACGGCCGCGCAGAACGAATACAGCGTGATGTCTGAATGTTCATTAATTGCAATGGTGCACCGAGGAGTGTACGGGACAGGGTCCAACCTGCGAGTTACGATCCGACCAGTGCGCGGGTGTGACTACTAGACTGCGTTTCCTCCCATTTTTTTTATTTTCGAGTGTGTACTCTTTCGTGTTGTCTTTTGCGTGACTTTGTGCGTTTGCGTGACCACAAACGTTTTCGAAACGAACACTTGTGTGATAGTGCTTTGTAATGATGTAATGACGTTATAGTGAATTCCTTGTAACATGTTTTTTGTTGCTGTTGTTTTAGTTACTTTTGTATGATGTTTACGCGCGACTCGAAGTCTCGGCAGTGCGCCTAGTGGGACCCCCCCCTCTCCCTATACGGTTCTTGAAGTTGTATGTACAACAAGCGTACATAGAACATTCTTGGGTTAGAAGTAGTTGTGTTTGGGGCAGGCGAAGGATGGCCTGTCGGTAGACGGCGCCCGACGAAAAGGGAAGTTAGTGAAAAGAGGCTGCCCAGACGCGGACAACGCCGTTCTCTTCAAAACGCGTCTTTGTCGTCAAACCCCATGAGCCTTTGTTCACCGCTCCATGTTCTGGGGAGTATCAGCTTGTATAGTTTTGTCGCTTCATGAGTAATGCGTGACCAAGTACATGCATAAACTGCCCCATTGACACAATAATAATTCATCAAGTTTTGTCAGAGCACGAAGCAACTTCTCATGGAAAATAAGTCGAATGTAGTCTACATAGCCGCCGGATGTTATAGTTCCGCTATGTAAAGAAAAAAGATGTTCATACGCAAACTTTCATAATTTTGCCCATTTTAATCTATATATGTAAATAAAATACTAGTTACTTTGTGTTTATTATATCTTCACAGAAACCTTGGATGACACTTTGTCTAAAGACACAATAAATTCCGCTTTGTTACGTTGAATAGTTTCACCGTACTCACAGTACAACGGAGGCTTGTACAGCGAAAATGCTTTTGTTGCCCACACTATTTTCATTGCTACTAGGTAAGGCTTCTGACCAGGCATCAAAATCAGATCTTATTGAAAAGAGGGGACAATAAGCTCTTTGAAGTAGCCCAATGCAGTTTTATCTGTGAAGCGCAGCGCACCCAGTGCATGCGCAAAGAATGCGTAAAAGGCGGAGTGGTTGCGGACGGTGTGGGACCACCATCTGAAATTTGAAGCCGAGGTGTTGTCATCCTAATACTCTCAGCTCGTACTCGTTCAACTGAAGTGCGATTGCAAGACAGTTTCGAGTGGCACGTGCTTTTTACAGCGCAGGTGCACACCCGTGCGCGTGGCGATACTGCCAAAGGAGTGAATGGCGATACCACATGTGGCCCTGTGGCTGATATAACGATGCAAGCTAAACCGAAGCTCATGAAAACTGGCTAAGAAGGCCACCTTTACACTTCATACATGCGGTGGACCTTTAGAAATATTTTTTTTTGTAGAATAGGCTTTCTACTAAATACCTGGCATACATTTCTGATAATTAATTCTGCTCTACACGGTCAGGTTGCGAAGTTGACACTATAATGTGATATTCGACTTGCAAATGTTGTTTGTATTACAGAGCATTGATATTACTGTATACTATAGCATAAACCACGAGGGGCACGCACTTCTAACAAGTTCCCCAGCCAAGTGCATTTTCTCAATAACACACGCACATTGCTTCGTGTAAAAATGATCTGTCAGAAATCATTATGCTGCCACAATGGGCAAGCTCAAACTGATTCTGAAAGCTCAGTAACTGGAGTAACTACAAGAAAGTGCTGGATGCACGAGAAATAATTTCAACATACCAATATCGACGATGCAAAGGATTTATCACCGCTGTTTGATTGGAGTAGGCGTAGTGAAGAAAGAGTTAACGAAATTAACATTCCACAAAGGCAGAGAACAAAGTAGTGCGCTTTTTTTCTTTCCACACAAGCATATTTCACCGTGAAATGTACACGATACTGCATGTACGCGATAAGCGTTGGATACTTTGTTGTTTTCCACCTTAGATGATGAACGGTTGCACCTCACAAGCTTTCCAAGAGCACTCTAGCGTCGCGGCGAGACGCCAAGTTCGTTCGAATTCAGCGCATCTGACATACACGATGATTGCAACTATAGCGCCGAGGTGGCAGCACCAGCCGGCAGGGATCACCAGACTTCGCCTGCTGCGTATGCGAGTCAATATTTTTTTTCACCAGGAAAAGGAAGCTTTTACACAATGCGAGCGCCCAATGTTCCAAGTAGCGGCACATGTAAAAGTGTCAGACAAAGCGTTTAGCGGGGCCCATTAGCAAATCTCCATCTATAGAACAATGGAGTAGTAGGCGTAGTTTCCCATTGAATAACTGAGAACATCAATCTTCGAGGAAATGAACAATATGTTTTCGGCTTTGCTGAATGGTGAACTCATCCACCGGTGGACACTGTCGGGCGGCGTTGTGAAATAAAAACTCGGGGCCATAGAAATATATTTAGTGAGGAGTGGAGCTCGCAGTAATTGCCTTTAACATTTTGTGGAGCGGGCGTTATAGTTCACGAAGCGCGTAATTCCCACACGAGTTTTTCGGAAGCGGCTACGTTTTCTTCAGCTCACTCGACAGCGACGGGAATGAATATTGTACTCGTCATTTCGACCGTCTGAAGTAAGAACATTGTCACTGATAACGGCGGTGTTTAGATAAATATATCAGTCCATGAGTTTACTAGTAAAACAGAGAAAAAAGAAATATAAAAAATTGTAAAGGTGAATGATACTCAAGTTCAATAGTCTGAGTCTCTCATTCGTGCGTGAACTACCCGAAAATGCTGATTGTACTGCTTACACTAGAAACCTTTTCCCCACTAGTTTATCTGAGTGGTTGCCTACCTTTGTGGATGGCACGAAACCCTTCCTGGAAGCCTGGGACGCGCGTTGCGAAGTGATGACACGGTGGGCATCGTCGGCATACACGGGATATCCGTTTACAAGATGAGCTGTTGTCCGTTCTTTGTAGTTGACTGTTTCCGGTTGTTGATCTCGCCTACATTCTAGGCGTGCGGGAAAAGAAACAGAACGAAATCTTGAGGCGTCCTTGTTTCCGCGATAACCTGAGCGAGTTGTAAAAGCGGGTACAGCTGCTGCGGGCCGCCAGCGGTGTTTCTGTGTCGCGTACTCTCGACACCAGGCGGAACGTAAACAGACTGGGCACAGCTGCGTGTCGCTCAAGCACATTGCGTTGTTTGATGGCGAGCTTCATTCCTGGGAGACCCGCGGACTCCGAGAGTGAGGGATCCCGCATTTTGCTCTCGACGAAGTCGTGTCGAGGAACAGCTGCTGGATCTTGCTTTGCGACTGGTGATGTATGCGCTTGCAAAAAAGGCTGATGACTGATGATGGAAAAGACCCAGATGGCTGTCGATGAAAAAGATGGACTTGTTATTTCAGCTACAGGCGTTATTTGTTGCGCCAATGTCTGTGGCGACATCACTGTATGAAACTTCGCAATATGGTGAGGTGACGTATAGTGAGACGCTCGATGTTAATTAGGATAAAAATAAGTCATGTATTATGACCATCGATGCATCCAAGGTCAATTATTGTTGCGAAACTGTGAACTAAAAGGGGTTGAAAACCTATTTACACTGATATGAGCGTACGCTGTATCATTGAAGCGTGACTAGGTGAGGTGGTGTGAAGTAATTTAAATCAAAGACTCAAAGGAATTTTGCATTGAAATGTGTTAAATCCTAAACATGGCAGCGTGAACTAGCAATTTGCTTTCCGGCTACCTGGCATTTGGGAAAATAGTTTCTTGCCCCATTCTTAAGCCTATCCTCAGAAATGGAAGGCCTACGAAGGCAGTCCATTTATGCGGGCTTTCTTTGCTTCGGTTAACCGGCGCCTTGTCGGCAAAACAAAGCATCGGTCAGTTTTATGGAGGTGTTGTGCGCGTATCTTTTATAGGTTATTTCTTTCTCACACGTTGAATAGGGGTGTTGCATTTTATAGAAGATAAGCCAGCTCATTGCAGCTGTAGATAACCGTTCCTTCGGCTATAAATTGCTTTCACTGGCGCACGGCCGCAGTGCCCTCGCACTTTGTGGCGGTGGATGCGGTATGCTAAGCGAGAAAAAAAAAAAAACTGCGCTGTGTGATTATTTCACGGCTGGTGTTTCGCTCGAGTGGTTTCCCTTGGATGGGCAACGTGAGTAATTATTATGCTCGGCAGTAGTATCATATTTTTTTTTAAACGTGGAGAGTGTTTTTTGTGTATGCGACAAGAACATCATTGGGATAATAAAAACAACCACCCGTTCCTGGGCCAGCTGTATTTAGTATTCCGTCGTTCTAATTCATGAATATATATATATATATATATATATATATATATATATATATATATATATATATATATATATATATATATATATATATATATATATATTCTAGGCATCAATTGTGCACTTCGTCCTCATCTGTGCAGCAATCAATCACCATCATAGTTCATGGGTGTGCGCTTCATGAACGGATCTGTGGCGCTTGTTCGCCACCGAGTTTGCGGCTATATAAACGCCGTTATAACCGAGTCGTCATATCTGTGGGACGACTTTACCGAGCTCCATCGCGCCTCCATTTATCTCATGGGTGTTGCGAAGACATGGTTCTTTAACCATGAGTTGACTTGACCGACTGGCCAGGCCTTTCTACCAGCGTAGCGATGTAGTTAGTTCCCTGCCTTTTGTGGCAGCATCACATACTCCCTACATCTGCCCTACCGGCCAATCGCAGCCAATTCTGTGCCCTACAACTCCATTCGAGGTCGCAGGTACGTGTTATGGGCCTCTTCGCATGACTGGCGCTGGAAATTTTTAAATAGTGACTACCGTAGATTATCTGACATACTTCGCCGAAACAACGTCTATGATTACTGGTTTATTCGTGGAAGTTGTTGACTTCATCCTTCACGCTATAATTCTACGTCAATGGGCTCCTAGCATAGTTCTGAGCGACCGCAAAAAGGCGTTGTTATTCCCACGGCTAAGTGAAGTTCTACGCGCATCTGGCACTGCACACAAGCCAGCGTCTAGCTACCATTGTCAAACTAACGGCCTGACCGAGAGATTTCATCGAAATCTTGCCGACATTATCGCGGTCTACATTCAAGTGAACCACAAAAACTGGGATAACTTCTACGATTCCTCACCTTCACCTACAACACCACCGTTTAGCGCACAGCTGGCTGAACAAGTAACTGGCTGTGCGAGCGTGTGCACTTCGGCGAACAACAGTGTTCTGTGGTTACCTGTTGCTCGATAATTTTCAACGAGAATGGAAGTTTTTTTTAGTTTCATTGAGCTTGGCGCTGACACTGCAAAATTTTCAGCAGCAGAAGCTGGGATAAAAGACGATGGCATCGCTGTTTGCTTCACGTGGCGCCACAGACACTATGACAAATTGGTGGTCGGTGGTGGTGGGTGGGATTTACAGCCGGCGCCTTCTGGACCTCATTCGCGCACACAAATTCTTTTAAGAGGCATTTTTCTTCTCTGTGCAGGCGAAATAAGCCTTCTCCTTCTAGTTCTCGCTGAAAAAGACATTATTGGGTGACCGTGTCATGGTTCCTTTAATTAGGCTCGTCTAGTTCTGTAAGCTTTAGTGTGTCCTGTAGGCTTACCTTCACCAGCCTTATTGACAATACGACTTGCCTTGTCAGATGTGAGTCGTGCACACGAAGAGAGTTTTCTGGTATCGTGAGTCAGCATAACAAAAAACTTAGCATCACAGCTCTAGAACCAACACGCATGCTCTTCCTGTAGCCTCCGTTATCAGTGGATTGTGTTGCCCCTGAGAGCGCCCGTGGGCTGCCATAACGCCCGTGCACCAGTGCGAGGTCACGTGATGGTGAGTACATTTTGCGGGCTTTATCTACCTGTCAAGAGATTAGACGCGCCATCTGTGCCTTGTTCGAACAATTTAATTTTCGACATTCGGAACACGCACCGTTGTACGTGGTAATTCAACTTGGCGACAAGCGTCAGCTGACGTTTCATGGACAAGCCATCTTTATTGCACGGTCACCTATGATGCCGCCACGCCTTTCAAGTGCATACCTGCGTTTGACTATTTGCGATGCACAGTCCAGGTTCAGAGGTGATAGGCTCCATCACATCAGTAAGAAAGAAAACTACTCGCCATAGTGACGCAAAGCATACTTTATTGATATTTACGTCACAAATGTTAAATGTATGTGCTGAAACCTTACCGTCGATTAGATTTTGAGGTCGTCCCTGAGTATGGCAACCGCGTCAACACGAATAAATCTGCTCCAGAACAGCTGAAGGTGTGGCATGAAGAAAACGCCCAATCCTTCCAGAAACTCGGTCAATCCCGGATTGGCCCCCGTTACGTAGAGCTGCGCGTCGTCGATGCGTTCGGGTGAGACGTTGTAAAGCTGAATTCGATGCGGTTCCTCGGGAGTCGGATCAACGACAAAGTAGAGTCGGAGCCTGGCGGCCGAAATCTTGGAAAGGTACATAAGAAACAATTGACTCATTAAAACATGTTGTGGAAACAGCTTGATTGTTATGCGCAAGAAGCTTACAACGCAGCAGCAGGCGATCTATATATATAGGGCAAAAAAGAGCGTCGAAAACGCTCTTGCCTGTACTGAACGCTTCGCCTTCCGTTAAGTTAAAAATAATTTTGCAGGAGAAATGATGTTTTTGGTGAATGACACCTGGAAAGTAGAGAGATGAAAAGCTTAGAAAATGAAATATGCATGGATCTCAGTTTGCTTTAGAATTCGCGGGAACCTAGTAGTCCTAGTCTAGCATGTAGTTTGACAAAGCACAACATGAACAAATAGCGACTTCTATCGCGTTTGACTTGACCACAAGCCTCTAGTGAGAATAATGTGATAGGGGAGAAATTTTGGAAAGCATTAGGTTGGAACACCCACGTTACAGAGAAGAATAACGTTGTTACCATACAATAGCTTTAGCTTAACTTCCCCAGTAACATTGGAATGCCATTAGGCGGCCCTCTTTGCCCCCACGAACATAGTTTTTATAATATTTCTTGGTTTTAGAAAGCACTAGCCCAAGAAATATTAGCTACAGCTTAAACAAAAACGCCAGGGCTGCGAAGAACGTGCTGCACAGTACCAACGAAAGCTGAAAGAGTGGCCTTTCAGGGCATTTTATAATATTTGGGTAACTGCCGCCACTTTCTGGGTACCCACTACGCCATTATTAGTAACATTTTTTGTGTAGTTGGCCAGCATTCACTGTGCCATCCTTCGCCATTTTTAGGAGAAGCGTGGTATTCGCAACACACCTGCTAGGAATTTTGCAAACTTTTTAATGCCATGGCTGACGACGATGAAGAATCATGCCTGCAGTGCGTATGCACAGCACTTAGTAAATGATAATGGAGAACAAGCATTCGAATGAGTTTGAGCATGAAACGACCCATTCGTTGCGCAATCCGCAATGCGTGACACCTGGTTGTTCCTTTGGTGTGCTAAAACGCTTTATTGCTCACATTACCGCGATTCCTTTCCTGGCGTCAAGCGTACCTAAAGGCAGTTTAGAAACGAGTTCCAAGCCCCGGCGTGGCTCAGAGGTAGAATACTGCGCTTCCGCGCAGCGGACTCGAGCACGAATCTCGCTATGTCCTTGGTGTTTTCTGTTTACCGAGTTTTTTTTTTATTTATTGCAATACTGCTTACGGACACCGGCGGTGGCAGCGGCATCAGCGGACAGCTTTGGTGCCACACATAGCCCGTGTTTTTAGGTTTTACCTGCCCAAACTATGATGTGAGCATTATGCAAGCTGTAATTCGGTTCTCCGTATTATCGATAAACATTTTAAGCGTGCCTTTCTTCTTGCTCCCTTGTGTTACTGGGGCTTTCTATCTCTAATTCTATTCCCTGTAAAATTAAATGTTTTTTGCCTGCCTGTCTCTTTAAAATGCTGGGAATACCTGTTTATGTATATGCCATAAGAATTCTTTCATTCTATGAACATTCTACACGTTGTCGCGTTCTTAAAGCGCCAACTGTTTACGCATGCTAAAGTAAGAGTAACCATTTCATCATTTTTCTTCGTATCCACCTTCGTCATTACCTGGCATGGCAACTAGGTCCTCAGTATATTGAGAGAATCCACTTCATCTAAATAGTATTTGTATAACTGTTACTGCAACAAAATGCGTAACTGTTACTCAGCATGATTCAATTGCAAAAAGAAACGCTATGTGGCGGAGTAACTACACTAATTCACACGTCGTTTTATCTTGAACGAAAGGAAAGCCGTGGAGAATGAGGACGAGCAAGGAACGACTAACATGTTCGGACATACTGTATTTCGCGATGATCATTTGTTCCAGATGGAAGCATACCAACTGGTCCAAGTATCTATTCTGGTAAAAAAAAATGCTTTTGAAGCTAAACGACTTGCATTTTGTGTGCCCGTTCAACCATGCATTACTTTCAAAGTCCTTCACATTAACTGAATACCGATTTAGTTTTCACATGCGCCACAAGCTATGATTACGCTCTATAATATTCCAATTTGTAGGCTATATTGATAGATGAATATATCGGTACAGAGATATTATGATGATCGTGTTTTGACTCGTGGACGGAAACTCGTTCACCGCTCAATTTTTATCAACGCGGCCTTGTTTAGTGCGAGGCCCATGGGGTGACCTATATTGGTGTCCCACAGTAGAGTACCAAGTACTCTAAATCATTAACCACTTTTGCTTGACAAATTTACTATATGTACACATGAAGAGTGCACGTGGTGACAACCAAGATGACGAAATCAGTGCCTCTTTCTTTTTCTGGGAGCGAAGTAGCTCATAACAATAAAAAAATGGATGTGTAAAGGTTGAACAATGCATGTAGAAGGTTGCCAGCAAAGTTATTCATTTTAGGAAACGATTCAGTGAGCTGAGCTCTCCTCATCATGCGAGAGCCACGCAATGCATAACTTCAACTCGTGTGATTGCGATAGCAAATATACGGACACTCTCAACTGGATTTTGCTGCCAGCGCCGGCGTCACTTACCATACATGTATATATATATATATATATATATATATATATATATATATATATATATATATATATATATATATATATATATATATATATATATATATATATAAACACAAGAAAGAAAAGGAATCGGGAAAAAGACTCCGGCGCGCGCAATCGAACTTCTGAATCGTGAGTGCGAGGCGTTAACCAATGAGCCACCGGGAAGCACCTCCTGCAACGTTCAAACGGCAAGATATCTATATCTAACACATGCCGCTGCTGACGGGCATATCTGGGGAGGGGAATTATCGTGTTTTCAGCATTACCAGCAAGACGGTGCAATGAGCGCGCGTCGCCACATTGTCATGACGTGGCGGCGCGCGCGCGCTCTTATCTCGCGTACGTTGTGGCAAAAAGGAGGGGGGAGACGCTCGTTTGCGTGCGCTTATCTTGCGGCGGGCAGGATCGTACGTCTTAGCTGGCCTTGGGTTGTGACTGGAACGACTCTGTTGTAGTTACCGGGCGCACAAAGATCACTGCAATCGTTGCATAGTCCCCGTTTGCGAAAAGGGCGCGCTTTTCAGACACAGCGAAGTAACAACAGAGACGCTTATTCGCTTTCATCTGTACCTCTGAGTATGTTTCGTGTGTCATTTGTGCGTGAGAAACGTGGGGCACATATCGATCTGCTTGTCATACTGCGCGTGACCTCCCAACTTGTTGCTATTTCGTTCATTGCTTCGACTTTTCGGTAAAGATGTGACTTCTTTATGACTTGACAAAGCGGTTGCTCTGGCTAGTATTGTCTCCTCTCTTATGCCCTAGTTTGTTGCGCTGCGCAAACATGTTTCGTGATGGTATCGTCTGAGAGCTACTGGTAGAGGTAAAGGTAGAAGCGAGAACATGGACATAAAGGAAGGAGGTGTCTTGGCGACTTCGGAAATTTTATCCGCAATAGACCTTGCATGGGTTATGAGGGGCACTTATGTTCGGGTGCGCTGTTGTGATATGGGGGTCCGCAAAAAACACCGTATGCAGGATAGTTTATAGGTCATCGTTGCGTATACTGCTGCCTCGCGCTACGCGCGACTACATTATTGTCTGCCCAGGCTTTGTTTTAAGAAGTAGAAAAGCTAAACATATTAAAAAAGGAGGACACCAGGTGAGTCAATGGCTCCAAATTTCACAAGGTTGATCCACGCATAGTGTGTAGCATCCTAATCATTAAAGGCGAATAGAAGACAACGAGGTGATCACGTTTTGCCCTGCTTTCTACGAGTACCTTTATTTCGTTTTGCTCTGCGCTGCGCTTTATAAAGACTCCGAACATCATTACTTATAAACTCGCCCAAACTGCTATACATGTGCAATTTGTTTTTCAATATTGCGTTAACCATGTACACATATTGAAGTCACAGATGTTCGATTGCCTCCTCATTTCATCGTCAACGTCACCACCAGATAAGTAAGTTACTGCAAAAGTTGTTACCGTGGTTCCCAGCTTTCCGGTGCCACCCGTGCAGCTGTTCCACTCCGCGTTGATTCGCAGTGGATCGTCGGCGAACGCCTCGACCTCAATGAGCGTGCGGTTCGCGACGCAGAACGTGTAGGGCGGCTTGTATGCCCACAAGCTCCCAAGGCCCGTCACTTCAGGTGTGGAAGTCTTGAATCCCATTATCCAAGCCTTCTCCTTGCTGCCCGATATAGGGATTGACTGTGGAATGCGCCGCAGGTAGGCATTGATGGTCGCTGTCCAGTCAATCTCCGGACTGTTGTCACAGCGTGCTGCACATGAAGTCTCCAATTATTTGTCGATAGACACGGCGTCCGAACTTTATCTAGAGCCGAACATAAACATACCAAACCAACACATAACGAATCATTTTTCATTTTGAATAGTTGTAAAATCTTCATGTGTATAGTTTTTATGTACAACATATTTAAATACCGAATTACCTGTACCTGGAAACTTTTTCTGATCTTTTTGAGATTTTATAGAGCCTGGATTGAATTTAAATATTTAATACCCAGAGGCATGCAGTCAGCGAAGCACATATTTTTTTCATCTCTATCTCTTCAGAAGTGGTTAGCATTAATCAAGGTTCCTCAAAAGCGATCAACCCGTTGTTTAATCCTCCAATTAAACCTCTGGGATATTACAGGTCACATGGAGGCGACTAAATCTGGTCAAGAGTGAAATATGTATAGGAGGATGCTTTAGCTCCACTATCATGAATACTAGGAGAGTTTTGGCGCTCTGAAAGAGATTTCTTTGATAACGCAGTAGCGGTGGCAGCCTTTACAAAATAGATTTAGACAGTACATAGTGTCTGTTGTAGTCTAGTAGGTAAATTTGGTTTTGTGTCAATTTATCATATTTTTTAAATAAAAGCAATTAGCAACCTTTAGAAAAAAAAACTCTTAGAAATTGCATGCTGTTTTGGTCTAGTTGTATTATGTAGATTGTTTATGAGCCTGAAACTGGCCACTTAGGAAAATGTGCTTGTGCTACTCTAACGTATTGCAGGAAGGCTGCGTTGAAATGCAGGTCAGCCTCAGGTAGTTCTTCTTCCCTATATTCCCGGCTTCAGTCCCCGATGAGAGTTAGGGAAGGATGTTTCATCCACTAATGCGGTCGGCAGCTTGTTCAGCAAACTGTTGGATTCATACTTTTTTTTGTTGATCGGAGGTGAGGTGTGGAAGATACCCAACTTTCGTGGCGCATACCAGTTTTTTGATGAGCCGTGAATATATGACACCCCGTGAGGACACGCTGACAAGCCTCGACATTGAGGTGCTTCGCACTTAATAACACCTGCCAGAGTCTTTTCAATAGGCGGTCGGGAATCGTTGCATATTCTGCCAAGCAGATTCTAACACGCTGCAGATGCTTTGTGGGCGTAACAAATGCTGCCAGTGTATCGCAATGGTTGCGGGCGGTGCTCTTCTGTTGACTCGAGCGTGGCGTGCTCGGTCCCGGCTTTCGCATCTCGGCCGAAACGAGATGCCAGAGGCCCGTGTACTGTACATTGTCAGGGCCTGCCAAGCAACACCGGTCGGTAAAAATTTCGCGAAGCCATCGACTAGGGCGTCTCTGATAACGTTGGTAGTTACGGGACGTAAAAATGCATCTGTAAACGACTACCTCAACCGTACCGACGGAACAAGAAAAATTACGTGGATAACTGTACGGCGTGTTGTCGTATAATATATCCGTTTTTCAACCAAAATAACTAATGTCGTTAAAAAAAAAAACAGATAATCGAGGTCACTGGTGTGAGAATTCGAGAGCCTAACTGAGATACGAGGTTTCTGCTTCAAAGTTTGGAATGTCCACTGATTAAAAAAAGATTACTTGGTTTAGATTCACCCATAAATCAGTGGCAATTATTGCCCAGAGGTGTACGTCAGCTCGACGTGAACGTAGGATGGTGCTGAAAAGCTCGATTATTTTATGTGCTAGAAATCACGATATTGAAGGACATCTGTATACCTAACACTGCCGTGAATTCTGTGTTAGTTATAGTTAGCGTGCTATAGTTAGCACCAGACTGTCACTATCCCTCAAGAGGAAGGTGTATAACAGCCGCATCTTGCCGGTACTGAGCTACGGAGCAGAAACCTGGAAACTTACAAAGAAGGTTCAGCTTAAATTAATGTCGACGCAGCGAGCAATGGAAAGGAAAATGGCAGGTGTAAGCTTAAGAGACAAGAAGAGAGCAGAGTGGATTAGGAAACGACACGGGGTTAATGATATCATAATTGAAATTAACTGGGCATGTAGCGCGTAGACAGTATAACCGCTGGTCGTTAAGGGTAACTAACTGGATTCCCAGAGAAGGCAAGCGGACTAAGGGGCGGGGGGGGAGAAAGAAAGTTAGGTGGGCAGATGAGATTAGGAAGTTTGCGGGTATAAATTGTCAGAAGCAAGCACAGGACCGAGTTGACTGATGAAACATGGGAGAGGCCTTTGTCCTGCATTGGACGTAGTCAGGCTGATGATGATGATGATGCTGTTGATGATAATGATGATGATAATGATGAGTTAGCGCCATCGATGGTTCCTTGTTCAGGACTCTCTAGCTTAGTTCTGTCCTTTAATTAATACTGACGTTACTTTGTCTTGTAGCTGCATATTAGTCGTCACTCCTATGCTCTGTTAAACGAAACTAAATTAAATTGTAAACAGGATGACTGTAAAATGCTCACCTGTAACAAGGTTATAGTCGTTATTTGAGGCAGTGCCCAGCTGGAACACAGCGAGTAAAGCAAATGTGAATGCTAGCGGCACCATGATGGCTCAGAGACTTTTGACGATGTCACGCAGCTGAAATGATGAGTTGGGACCACTGAAATGATGCAAAAACAAGAGCATGTTTGACGTAAATATATAGGACTTGCAGCAACCATTTATCATCTGAAAAACTACATTGTCCTTTTGGTGAAATATTATACAGATATAAATTTCAGGAATTATTTAGGAGCTGAACTACGTGAGAGGCGCCAAATATTAGCTGACTACAGCACATGCAGCGGAGCCAGATGGCCCCGCGCATATAATAACTGGTCGGCTTATATAAGGATCTGTGTCGGTGGATCGTATTTAAACGACTAGCGTACTAAGCTTACGGGAAACCTCATTGCGTATTTGCTTCTACGCCAACTCATGCCTCATTTCTAATAACTAGCAGTGACATTTTCTTTCGATTTGTATTGTCGATCCTAATAGGAAGGAAGGAAGCAACAAAAAGGGAGAAGGCAGGGAGGTTAACCAGAAAGACATCCGGTTGGCTACCCTACACTAGGGGATTAAGGAAGGGGACAAGAAAGACGAGAAAGAGGGAAGAGAGAGAACAAAGGGGGTGGGGGAGAGACTGACAGTAATTTCACTGCAGCGTGTAGAACTCTACCGCGTGTCAGAGGCGTTCACACAAGCCTGTCTTTCTTAGGAAACACAGCAGGGTTTTCACTGCCTTGTGAGCTGTCGAGTCATGTGTACGTTGCTGTAATAGCACCTGCACAGAAAGAGGCCGATCATCCAGTCGCCGCATTGCGTTGGCAAGTACTTGTCTATCTGAGGCAAATCAAGGACAATGACACAGAAGGTGTTGGATATTTTCGTCGGTGCCGCAAACATCGCACGCCGCACTGTCAGTAATTCTGATTAACGTGGTATAAGCTTTCGTGAAAGCAACTCCCAGCCAAAGCCGATAGAGAAGCGAAGCTTCACGTCATTGTAGGCCGGGTGGAGGCCGGAGTTGTAGTGAAGGGTCGAGCTCGTCAGTCGTGTACGTCGTATGCTTGGTGTGTTCCACTCAGTCAGTGTGAGACTGCGGGCCAGTTGACGAATCTGCCTCGCCGCATCCGCTCTTGAAAGCGCTATCGGAACGCTGTTCGCTTCTTTATGTGACATGGAGCAGCATGATCTGCAGAATCATTGCCGCCTATACCACTATGCCCGGGTAACCACTGAAAGACGATGCCATGGCCTTTTTGTATTAACAGGTGGTGAAGTTTCACGGTTTGGTAGGTCAACTGGTCGTGGCATCCGCGTCGGAGAACTGATATCAGGCACTGTAACGCTGGTTTTGAGTCAGAAAACACAGCCCATTTACCTGGTCTTTCTTCTGAATTGATGTGTTCCAGTGCATTGCGCAGAGCCTCGAGTTCTGCCGTCGTGGAAGTTGTCACATGTGAAGTCTTAAAGCACCGAGTTACCCCTTGTGATGGTATAACCACTGCTCCACCTCAACTAGACGGCGTAGTAGACCCATCTGTGTAAATGTGCACGTGGTTACTGTAGTTTTCTTCCAGTAGGAATAGACTCAGTTGTTTCAGGGCTTGTGTCGGTAAGTCCGATTTTCTCCTCATTCCTGGAATCATCAAGTGTGCTCGCGGCCGGCTCAAGCTTCAAGGAGGAAGCAGTGGCTTTGATGCAGGTGCGTATGTCTCAGCAAACGATGAACGATGCTTGGAGACAATAGTGCCGTATGTCGTGCGGGGCCTTTCAGCAGCTAGGCTCGCCAGGTGGTGAGAAGGGGTCCTGGCATAATGCCTGAGGTGCATGCGCATTGTCTCGGTAATAATATGCGTATTTATCGAGTGATCTTGAGCGATGGCAATGGTTTCAGCCGTTGAAGCACTGCGGGGTACTCCAAGGCTTATCTTAAGTGCTTGGGCTTGAATGCTCCGAATTGCGCGCAGGTTGGTCTTGCCGGTGTTAGATATTGCAGGTAAGCTGTACCGTAAGAATCCGATAAACAGCACTCTGTACAGTTGTAGCATGGATGGTATGGGCACTCCCCAATTCTTTCCTGCAAGGAATTTGAACATGTGGCATGTTGCGATCAGCCGCTTTTTCACATAGTTCACGTGTGGAGTCCATGACAGGTTTCTATCTATTATGACTCCCAAGAACCTGTGGCTTCTGCTGAACGATATGTATTCGTCATTAATCGATATACTGTAAGCAGAAATTGGTTTCCGCGTGAACGCTACCACTGCACATTTTCCGCAGGACACCTCGAGGCCTTGTTTACGAAGATAGCATGACTTCATGGGTGACATTGTCGTAAGCCCTCTTAACGTCTAGAAACAGGGCGGTGCACAGTCTCTTACAGGCTTTTTGGTGTTGAACATATGTCACCAGATCAACAACGTTGTCGATTGACGAATGGCCGCGCCTGAATCCGGTCATGGATACTGGATAGATTTCGTAGTGCTCTAAATACCACTCCATTCGTGTTAGAATCATTCGTTCCATCGTTTTTCCCACACAACTGGCAAGTGCGATAGAACGGTATGAGGCAATATCCAAAGGAGATTTACCAGCCTTTAGAAGTGGAATGAGGCGACTTGACTTCCATGCCTGGGGAACCATACCAGTCTGCCAGGAGTCGTTGTATAGGCGTAAGAGTGCCTTCCGAGCTTCGTCTCCAAGATTACAAAGGGCACGATAGGTAATGCCGTCAGGTCCGGGTGCTGAAGAACGTCTGCACAGTGCCAGTGCCGCCTCTAGCTCATCCATAGAAAACTGGCATTCCATACGGGGATCACGTGAGGGCGGTGGGTTGTCAAATGTTCCCGTTCTCGATACTGTGAAATTGGTATCACCGGCAATTCTTCTACAGAAAGATTCTGTGACGTCAATCTCTCTGCATCGAAGGTGAAGTGCCAGAGATGTAAACGCGTGTCGCTGACCCAAGGTTGTGCTAAGACCCCGGACAGTTCGCCATATCAGTGATAGGGGGCTTTCGTGGATCCAACGACTCGCAAAAGGATGTCCAACGTCGCCTAGCCAGTTTATCCATGTGCCGCTGCATTTTCTTTTGAATGCGTCTAGCCAGCCTCAAATCATCCATGCACTTTGTCCGTCGGTACCTTCGTTCTGCACGACAGCGTATTGCGCGAAGTTTCTCAAGCTCGATGTCGAAATCGGTGCGCTTGTGAGTGGTCAAATGTTTATGCGTGGTATTCTGCAGGACATCCTTTATCGAGTTCGATCCTAATAAACTTTTTTTTCGATCCTAATAAAAGTGTAGAAAACGCACGCAAGACCATTAAAATATATGAGCTTATCAAGTGCCACACTTATGGGCTTTTTTGCCCCATGTTTTCCTGCTGCTAGTTATGGTAAAATGTCTACAACTCACTTGAAGAACTATAACCTCCTTGGCTGGCATTGAATTATTATAACATTTCTTATTAAACATCACCGCCAGCCTATTTTTCCACATTAAGTTTGGAGAAATTTGTGTCATACACTGAAATGAGCTGTGAAGTGGGCTCTTAAGAACTGTATATACATATAGAGTACGCTAGTATTGTGTGGTCGCCTCACCAGAAGGTGTTGTGGTCAAGAATTGAAAGAATACTAAAAGTAGCAGTCCGTTTCATAAGCGGTAGATACCGACACAAACACTCAGTCACAGCTTTGTTAAAGTCCTGTGAGCTTGAGTCTTTGGAATGTCGCAAGCGCAAACATCGCCTTAAATTTCTTTTTCAGATTACAAGCGGGCAAACAAAAATAAATAAGGATTTATGTCTTCAGCCCCTGCAAGGCGATGTGATCGGCTTAATAATAGTAGAGCAATTCAACCTTATTGCACACGCACGAATGCTTTCCGCCACTCCTTTTTCCCAGGCACAATAGATATGTGGAATAGTTTACCCAACGCGGTTGTGCAACAAACAACGTCAGTGAATTTTGAAAATGCATTAGACTGTTTTTTTTGTAGTAATGCGTGCTAAATTCTGTTGTGAGTATTTATTCGTTGATTTTTATGTGTATTGTCACTGTTTTTTTTATTTTTCTGTTGTTGGTTATTCATCTCGTAGTTATATGTGCTTTTGAATTTTTCTTTTTTATGCGAACGTTATATACTTTGTGACACCCTCCCTGTAATGACCCCAAACACGGGGTTGACAGCATAAAATAAATAGATAAATAAATAAATAAATAAATTAATTAAATAATACTTAACCATCATTCGCTGTTTTCGCCCGCAGCTACGAATTATGATAGCTTGCTTCGACCTGATGTCGTGGGTTCAATCCCGATCGTGACCGTCGCATTTCGAAGGATTCGAAACGGTCGATTTCCGTTTGTGGTGCTATGTCTTTGCGCGTTAAACAGCTCTTGACGGTACAAATTTTCGGTGCCCTCCACTACGTTGCAGCTCTTAATCACAAAGTGTATACTGGTGGTAACCAATGTGTTTCTGAGAGTGGAGACATATTTTTGATGTTGTTTGTGAATAAATATAAAAATATGTAACTATTGTGGGCTGTCCATTATTGTTTTTCACACTTACTATCGTCGATACTAAAGCTATCACCATGTACACCACGAACTGATGTTCGGCAAATATACGCTTCGTGAAATGATAACATTTTGAAGCTTACCACAACATTAGTTAGGTGTTTTATCTTATGATGTATTTTTGCAAAACAAAAGGCAGCACAGTGGTCATGTTGGAGCCATTTCGGTGGAATGCATTGTTCAACCTTGATACCCTGTATACTCGAAACACAGACATGCTCCCATCATATGTCTTAAAAATTTAAGTTGCTTACCTTATGTCCCGTGCGCCTCCGTTCGACGTTTGAAAGTGCGCCTACTCATTGGCGTACCACGTTTATAAACGCTCCAATGTGTTTCTTCAAGGATGTGACCGCCACAATATCGGGTGCATTCCGCAGTACGCCGGAAAACAATTTGACAAAAAACACGGGCCCACGTCCTAAGGCTTGTGGCAATCTCGACGATGCACGCATTGTGGCGACTAATTGATGCCTCATGAGGGTCTGCCGTTGCGCGATATGCTCGGAGTTCGTAAGCCGCCGCACCAA